ACATATTAAATACATATGTGTATAGGATGATAGCACCAACCTAAGACAAAAATCAAATGAATAATTCCTGTCGAACAGTATAATCTTGTTTTTTTTCTGGAAGTATGGTTTTATGGAACAAGTATAGACATGTAGCTAGCATGCAGTACAGAAAGAGGCTTTTCTTTTTAAAATGACTTTTCAGTTGAAATATTGAAGGTAAAAGCACTAAGACAGGAGAAAATAGTGTCATGCAGGCATCTAAAACCTACCCACTGGCCAAATGATATATAGCGCAGTCCCATCTGTGCTACATTTGTCTGAGTCTCCAAAAGGATTGGATTGGCCTCTACACAAAGCAGAGATTAGGACGAGTGGCACATTCCCAATGTTCCCTGTTTCAGAATTTCACAATGACATGATTTGTGAAAATTCAACACAAAGTTCACAAAACCACATAACCCCAACCCCAGCAGGAGTTAGGTGTAGCAAATCTAATATTACATGCTTTAAAGATACAGTCAGAATGCTATGCCAAGTGCATAAATTGCATGTTTAGCAGCATTGCTGATCCCAGACAATGGAAAAAAAGTTGAAAAGAAGACTATATCGTATGTGTTATATATGAACTTCGGACTAATTCATGATAATTTACCCTTGTCTTGAACTTTTTTCCTTTTCATAAGATGGAGGCGTTCAAACTGTTCACTTACACGGAAGGGGGCAATGGGTACTACTGGACTGTAAATTCAAGGAAAGGAGAAAGAACTTTTAGGTTTTGGATTTGAGATCCACATGTTCTTGACTCTAATATGGACAACATCAGAGGAAGGCAACTGAACAGTACAACAAAATTGCAGATGTAGAGCTGGCCTATTGAGGACTATCAAGTACATAAGCGTAACTTTAAATTAAGGTCGTTTCTTAGAGGGCTTACCAATTCCGATTTGTATGATTGTGAATTTGAAGAAAGGATATGGAGGACGGACAATTGAGGCCACAACTAAACCAATCAGCGAGCCTGATATGGAACCCAGAACAACGTTCACAGGAATGAACCACCTGAAAAAATGACACAAACCTTCTGAGCAACGGAAGACTGTAAATTTCACAACTTGGTATAGATAGCAATCGAACTCAAGAGTAAAGTAATTACCATTCAAGCATTTTCTGCAAGGTAACGGCTTGCCCAAGTTGAGAAAATATCAAGCAGGGTAGCAATAGTGAAAAAACCAGCTGCATGAGACGGTCCAGAAACGTTCAGCAAAAACAGAAAAGAGAAGGATTTACAATTACCAACAGATTAGAGAACAAGAAGTGCTCACCCCATTCAGAAGCTTTCTTCCGTTAGCAGGCAAAATGTTAACATACTTGGAAGCCATGAGGAAGCCCAGAAAACACATAGTAAATACTTTAGCTATGGGCAGCACAGCGATTTTGATAGAGCCCAGAAGGGACTGTCCTCCTGGTTGACTCTCGACGGCGGCAGAGAGAAGGCTTCGCATCGTATCCATGTCAGTCGGCGAAGAGTGGAAGCTAAGTCAAGGCGACTCAAAGAAGAGCCTAATAAAGAACAACGACGAAGTTTGGAGAAAATTCAGCCCATGAAAGTGTGAAGCGAAGAAAAACAAAAAGGAGTAATAAGTGCGTAATTCACAAGCGTCCCGCGCCGAGAACAAGCTTTAGAAGGTGAATGAAACAACGCCACGGAAGACGTCGCAGCGAGAAAGGTAGATTCAGATGAGAATGACTGGCGCAGCAAATTGCAATAATTAAATACAATCAAACTCAGAGCCCAAAAAAGTGGAAAAAGAAAACAAAACTGGAATCACAGACGAATCAAACTGAGAGTTCTGAGAAAAAGAAGACGAGTTAGAAGTACCGTAGCGTTTCACGTGAACCAGAGAGAAGGCATATACTCGAAATTTCCAGCAAAACAATAAAGTAACTACATCACCACAACGTTATGGTTAATCAAGGCAGGAAGAAGAAGATGAAGCGCATAAGCTTAATTATCGGGTTTGGATACTGTAGATCCGATTCGATCATTTTATATAAATAGTTTTTTTTTTTAATTTTGTGGAATATTTATTATTTTATTTGAATTAAGGTTTATCGGCTGTTCTAAAATATTTTTCCAATCGTTTCCAACACACTTATTTTATGATTTATCTAACACTCTAAAATATTTTTTTATAATAAAAAAATATTATAAGATACTTGATTCAAATTATTTTTTAAGGAAGTAACCTCTTGGTTAAAAATTCTCCTGTGAAATACTTTATGGACACAATTGTTCTTGAAAAATTAATATTTTAAAATAAAATTGTATCATAAAATATTCTAAATACTGAATACTTTTTTGGTTTTATTTATAAGGCATTTTCAACATATTTCATACAGACAAAAAAAACTTAAAATACATTAACTCTCCATTAAGGTATAACAAATTTTTAACTTTACCTATATTTAATATATGCCCCTTTCAAAAGAGATAACTACCTACATTATAATAAATGAAAGATAACATAGTACATTCATATTAAAAATCTAAAAAAGTGACTTATAAATAGGATAAGAAAAAACTTCACTATCTACCCTATAAATAGGACAGAAGGCTACATTTAAAAATATATCTTTTTATCCTTAATGAGCAACAAAATATTTTCGGCATCGAAGGCGCATAATTTTTTTTGTTTTGGACTGGAAGATAAAAAAATAGTTTAGCACCTTATTTGTTCCCCTCTTCTTTTAGATACCATGGAAGATTCGTTTATTTATATGTAAACAGAATTAAAAATGAGGAAAAAGAATTAAGGATGAAGCAAGAAGCGGGTAGACGGTAGGGTCATGAATAGGAAGAAAAAAAACAAAAAGATGTGAGAGAGAGTATGACTTGTAGTGGGAAGACTGTAGAACATGCTTTTAGTTGTCAAAATAACCGTCCCACGCTTCCGTTGATTCCTTTTCCATAACGTCACTTGAATGGCAATTAATTAAGGGCAAATTGAGTTTAAAGACCACGGAATTACTTTTAAAAAGCTTTCAAAACTTTCTGAAACTTCACTGCATGACCAATAGGGAAAACTGATATTAATTTCACAAAAAAATGATGCTATTGCCCCTCATAATAAAAGTAGAAGAGTCCATTTGCAAGTAAAATTAGAAAATTTGCAACATACATTCATATATTTACAACTGAAATTAGTCCCTCACCACCTAAAGAAAGTGTCCGTGAGTAGAGCCTATTTACAAGTAGGACTAGACAATTTGCAACATACATATATTTATTTACAACCAGTATTAGTCCATTTATATGTCACCTTCTTCACCTAAAAAAAGTGCCCATGAGTGAACAAGTGTAGGAGAGTTTATTTGTAAGTGGGTTTAGACAATTTGCAACATACATACCTTTATTTACAATTGAAATTAGTCTATTTATATGTCACTCTGGAATAAGTAAGTATTATGAGGGGCAATAGTGTCATTTTCTTTGTGGAATTAATATCAATTTGCCCCTTGGTCCTGCAGTAAAGTTTCAGAAAATTTGAAGGGTTTTTTGAAATTAATTCTATACTGTTATCCTTAAACTAAATTTTCCCGTTGATTAATTGGATCCCATTCTCTCGAAAAAGAAAACAATAATTTTAAAAAAGAATATGATCTTTTAATATTTAATATATATTTTTATTTTTTGTTCTTAATTATTTATTCTCTCTCTTTTATTATATTCTCTGTTATCACATTTTTCCATGCACTCTCTTTCATCGTTTTTTCATTTATTATAAGGGTATATTTGGAAATAAAACTATATTTCTAACTTATTTATTGCTTCTAATTAATTCTAACAAATAGTTTATTATCTGTAAATTAGTTATTTAAAACTTATAATAAGAACCAGAGGAAGTACTTCACAGATAAAGAACAAGTAGTTAAAATTAGTTAAAAATAATAAATATATTAGAAATATATTTTTATTTTAATAAATGTCCTTGTAATAAATGAGAAAAAAGATTAAAAAATATGTGAGAAAATATAATAAGACAAATTATGTCAGTGAGAGATAATAAATAATTGTGGACAAAATTAAAAAAATTACATTATATGTTAAGACAAATATCAAATTAAAACTTATAAAATGGATCACACCTCTTCTTAAATTTACAACTTATAAGTAAGACCGAGATAGTTTATAGGGAGAATCCCAACAAAATTTGACTAAAATATCTAAACCCAAATTAAGGCTTACATTTTTAACAAATTTCTAATGAAGCCAGATGGCCTAATTTAGGATTTTTAAATATTGTCAAATGACTAAATTACCTCCCTTTAATTAAAAATAAAAATTAATTATTTTACTCCTTCCAAGTAATCTCTCATCTCCTATGTTATTTTGTAGGAGTAAAAAACACAAGTGATTTCATAGTGTTTAAAATTTTTATGTATCACTAAAAGCTTCAAAAATATTCTAATAAAACATTTCAAATTACAACATAAATAGCCTGAAAATCAATATTTTTTATTTTCTGTTGTTAAATATTTATTTTAAGACTTTAAAATATCTTAATTACAAGAAATATTCAATACTATGTTCTCATAATTTCATTAGTTTTATTTACTTAAACGATTCCAACCTAAAAAATTTATTTATAATAACTTAGTATTAAAAAAATTTTGTAATTAAGATATTTTAAAATGTTCAAATAAATATTTACCAAAAGAAAATAAAAAAATTATTTCAAGGCTATTTATGTTGTAATTTAAAATGTTTTATTAGAATACTTTTGAAGGTTTTGTTTATATACACAAATATTAAATATGGTAAAATCAAGTATATGTTTTTTAGTCCCAAAAGGATAATCATAAGAGACGAGGGACAACTTGGAAGGGTAAAATTAAGTATATGTTTTCACATATTTTACCTCTACTTTAATGTATTTAACACATTGTCTTTCTTCATTTATCTCATTATTACTCTCTCATATCTATCTATTTACATATTGGGATATATTTGGAAAATAAATTGTATTTGTTACATATTAATTGTTTTAAATTAATTTTAACTGTTTTCTTAAACAGTAATTTAGTTAAAAAAAATATATAATAAAAAACAGAATAGTGCTCTATTTACTTTGGAAGACGCAAAATTACCTTAAATAGGCTCTTCCAAACAAAGTTACAGTGATCAGATAAAGTGGCAAAAAAATAATGACAAAGCATCTTTTAGGAGGGTTTTTTTGGGGGGTCATTTTTTATGATATTTTTTCTAATTCCTTACATGGTTTTTTTTGGGCTAACTGTTGCAACTAACCAAATCATGCAGATTAAAATATGGATTAAAATTACTTTAAAATAATACTTTCACTCTTATTATAAATTTTAAATAACTAATTTATATATAATGAATACGTAATTAAAATTAGTGAAAGGCAATAAAAATATTAGAAATATTGTTTTATTTTTAAATATACTCTTATAATAAATGAGAAAAATAATGAAAGAAAATGTATAAGAAAATGTGACAAGAGAGTATGACAAATATGAGAGAATAAATAATTAAAAACAAAAATAAAAAGTGTATTAAATATTTAGACTGATTTCAAATTAGAACTTATAAAATAGACTACACCATTTTCTGAATTTGAAGCTTGTAAATACAAATGGAGGAAGTAAATGTTTAGGATATATTATTTTCGGTTCTTAATACTACCTCCAATATTTAATACTCCTCTGGTCCCTAATATAAGACTTGATTGTTGAATTGATCTTTATCCTAAATATAAGACCTACTTATCACATTTATTAATTTTTTCTGAATTACCCATATTTATATTCTCTCAATCATAATCAAGTAGGACATGGAGGGAGGATATTAAGAAAAATGATTATGGTATTTTAGGAAAAACATGTCATATTTCTTATAATTAACTAACCTATCTAACTTCTTTAATCTAATCAAATTAGTTAAATAGGTCTTATATTATGGACCGAATGAGTATAATGTTAGTTGACTAATTTGAGTATATTAAGAAAATTTGTTAAGTTAATTATTTATAACAAATAGGTGTTGTCTTTCTTAAAATACCTTTGCTAATCATATGTATTAGATATAATTACCATTTAATAAAATATTTAATATGTACAACTACTAGAATGACAACTTTAAAAAAATAGATTAATGTGAAAGACAAAACAAATTAAAATACTGTATTTAAGACTAAATTAAAAGTAACTATATTTCATATTAAAAACCAGAAGTAGTTTTTGGGACGGCCCAAATTTATTAAATAAAATAGCAATTTTTTCTAAAATAAATGTAATACTATATCCGGTATTATTTATAAATTCTTATTTGTAGATTATTAAAAAAAATCTTATAATTAGGACTATACTAATTTACTATTTTTTTTTGGATAAAATTTATTTCTGCTTTTGGCATCAGCGAAATAGTAGGGTGATCTGTGATCCATCAGATGAAGAGCCGCCACCTGAACATATGACCCACTGGCGGGTCCATCCACATGCATCATATCTACTGTTCTGCCTGTCATTATTAATGCGTGTGAACATGGAAAAATCAAATATTGCATTATTAATATATGCACAAAACAATTGTTATTTTAGATCTTTTTTCTATTTTATCTCAATTTTTTAAAAAGAAATTTAAGATCTAGTGTATTTTTATAGCTATAATCCTCAACTCAAATAACGATTATATGGATAATTTTTATAATTATCTCATCTAACTATAATTTATATAAGATAAAATAGCCTCCAATAGCATTCTAATTTTATTTATAGTACATCCAGTATTTTAGTGTTATTTTTCTAATATCATACAAAATTATTGTTTTTTTAAGACTTTTTTTTATCAGTTATCACAATTTTTTTAGCTTTTAAAGAAATTTAAGATACTGTTTCCCCCCCTAATTTTGTGTCTTTCTCTTTTATTAATCTTATT